AGGAGGAGGAGGAGAAGGAGAAGGAGAAGGAGAAGGAGAAGGAGAAGGAGGAAGAGAAGGAGAAGGAGAAGGAGAAGGAGAAGAGCAGCATCAGCAATTAAAAGAAAAGCGATGGTAGCGATGGCTGTATGAATATGAAGCTAATCAAAATATTATAACACCTGTCAGTTCTATTACTGACTCAAGGCGGCTTCTTTAAGTAAATAAAAAACAGAGAAGTCTAATGGTCTATGCCAGACTGCATGTCATTAACATTGATGTGTGTGTATGTGTGTGTGTGTGTGTGTGTGTGTGTGTGTGTGTGTGTGTGTGTGTGTGTGTGTGTGCAGCTATTGAAAGCACCGAGTTTGAGTCGACAGCTTGCTTTGTAGTGATTGGGTTTTAAATAGTGATAAGTAACAATTGCATCTATGTAGCGCATAATTTCTATTCTTTACAGCAAGCTCTTAGCGCTTTACAATTTAACCCCCTGCGTACGCCCTGGGGTCATTTTGTACCCCTGTGATTGTATTTTTCGCATTTTAGAATACTTGTAGTACGAAGATCTCCTTAAAACTTTCAGTATTTCTCAAAAAATCATTTTGACAGACCGCTATGCAAAGCGTACGGATCGGATTAAAGGAGTTCATTTCTTCTTTAGAAAATGGTGGCACAGAGTTCCCCACGTCGTATGGATACGATAGTAAAACACGACGTACGGATAGGGTTAAGTATATTATTACCCCAGCAGACCCTTGAGCATAATATAGACAACAGAAACATTCTCGGATTCCTGGGAAGCATACAATGCAAGCAGCCGATTTACCGTTCAAACACTAACAAAATGGTTATTAAGATTTTTCGCTGTCTATGGACAGATACCAAAGCCTACTACTGTATATTGTACAATAGGCATTGCCGGATACCCATTCCCACCTGCGTGAAGTGAGAACATTTCGTGTAAAGTACCCTACCTAAGAACACAACGTTGGGTCCGTCGGGGTTCGAACCAACAACCTCTTGGTTGCGAGCCTGACGGCCTAACTGCTAGACAACTGACTGGGCTAGTACTAGTAGAAGTTTAATGGCGACTGGTGTAGTCATTTACACACTGTTATATACCTAAAACAAATGAAAAAAATGTTTACAGCTCATGCGAAAGTAAGCACATTTTCACTTGTATGTGCTCATGAAACGTGTTTTCACTTTGGCTTGGCTTAAACCAGAATGGTTTCTGTTTCTACTTATCAAGCAACGAACAGTCAGTGCTAACATTCTGTGACGTTTGACGAGAAAATACTAATGATGAGAACACACTCCACGTGCTCACATGCACACAAACATGACGTCATGCATACATGGTCAGGCACATGTACGCACGGAAGGAGATGGAGAGAGAGAGGGGGGGGAGAGGAGGAGGAAGTGGAGGAGACAGACAGGGAGGCAGACATAGATAACTAGAAAGAGAAAGAAAAAAGAGAGAGAGAGAGAAAGAGAGAGAGAAAG